TTGAGAAAATCTTGCAACATGAAAGAGATGAGAATAAAATAAAATGAAAATAATCACAGATTCATTAGAGAAAGTAACAGCAAACAATTTATTAAAGTCTTTCTACTTAGAATTCTTAGAAGTGAAAAGTAATCTATAGAAGTAATAATAGAGAGTTAAAAAATTGGAAAATTTAATAGGAAGGTTGGAAAATTAAACCAAAAAAATCTTCCTAAAATTAAAAAATGACAAAGAAATGTAATATGTGGTAGAAAAACTAAGACATAGAGAATAGACCCAGGAAGTCCAGTATCAAGTTAACAGAACTAGAGAGAAAAAAGAAATGAAGGGAGAAAAATATCACAACAAATAATGAGAAAAACTTTTCCTGATATAAAGGTTCTAATTCTTTACATAAAGCAGGGCTGTCAGATATTTAACAAAATTAATGAAAAAAGACTCAAGTACATCATTTTTAAAATTTCAGGATCTCAAGGGTTAAAGGAAGATCATAAAATAGCCCAGTAAAGAAAATAAAACTGAACAGAGAAAAAAATCAGATGGTCAACTATTTCTATCATTAAGATAATGGAGAGGGCCGACCGAGTGGCTCGTCGGTTAAGAGCTGGCTTGGGAGTGCAAGCTCTGAGCAGCAGGGCTGCCAGTTCGGATCACACATGGGCCAGTGACACTGCGCCCTCTACAGCTAAGATGGTGAACAACAGCTTGACCTGGAGCTGGGCAGCCAAGAGTCGCCAGCGATAGTGTAGACTGCAGTGGGGCTGTAGTGGGGCTGCCATGAGCTGCCGTGAGCCACCATGAGCGGCCACCCACAGGCTGGCGACCAATCTGCCTCAGCCAGGAAGAGCACAATGTTAATACCAACATGGGCCAGTGAAGCGATGTCCTCCACAACTAGACTGAAGAACAAAAGGACAGCAACTTGTCTGTTCCCCTTCCCCTATTCCCCAAAGCCGTTCCCCTCCCCCAATTCCCCAAGAAAATCTTTTTTTTTTAAAGATGAGAAAGATATGGAAGCCTAAAGGAAAATTATTTTCTACTAATAAATGTACACCTGTTCAAAATCACAATAAGGCATGAAGAATAAAAGTACTAATAGACATAAAAGAATCTAAAATTTACCTATCACACATATTTTTATTGGAATTGATTAAGAGTATGACTTAGTAAAGTAAGGTTAAAATTCAGAAAATAGAAAGACAAGGAATGTAAGAAACAGTGTCTTCAACCCAGAGCATCACTGATAAGAGATCCTACTAGAGCAACTCCATGGCAAGCCTAAAATTCTTGACTACATATGTGATATTTATAAAGAAGTAACTTTTTCCACTTTTAGAATTAAGCTATGTTCAAAGCCCAAAGACAGTTACTGTTACAGCAGAATGTCCCTATTTTCAGCTTCAACAACATATATTTTTAAAAGGTCCAGATACCTCAGTTTCACAAGTGGGGGAGTAAATGAGAGGGGAAAGAAAGGGTTAGTGATGCCAGTACCTTCATATTTCAAGAAGGGGGACAAGCGACATTGGCCATAATTAAGGGAAGAGGACACAGAAATAAATATATTTAAATTCCAATAGAAATTGAAAGAATTATGTAAGATGACTCATGAAGTAGAGCAGGATTTTAGAAGTTGGGCTGTTCCGCAGTCACTAAAACGTTCTTAGCCTAACCCCCAGGGAGTTCAGAAGCTGCAAGAGCCCTTCAAAGTTGTCCCAAGATAGGGCAGAGCTCAGGACCTTCTCACTGAGCAGTTACTGGGCATAAGTTCCCCCTGGGAAAGAAGGTGAAATTGGCTGAGACAGCTCTCCTCACCTAAGGTAATTCCAACAGCAACATTCTCATCAAGTAAGGGAATAAATCCTTCAGCCCCAAAGGGAGCAATCTAGGTGGACCAAGACAGCATCCGTACAGAAGCACTATTCTCGTCACCAGGATTACATGTATTTTCGGGTGGAAGAAAAACAAATGTTTCTAAAAATTCACCATCACTTAACTATCATTAAGTCAGTGACTCACCCCTTTGACTTATGAACTTTGCTCCTTCAGTTAAACATTCCATTATAGTCAGGAAGGGCGATGTTGCAGTGAAAATTAAATCTCAGTGGCTTAACTCAATAAAGGGGACTCAATACCATAGTCATTCAAGGACTGAAGTTATGGAGTTTCTAACATCTTGTGCACCATCACCTCAACAATGGCTCCAGAGGAAGACAAGGCAGAGTTCACACCCACATTTAGGTTTCACTGGCTGGTACTGGTCACATGACCCCAACCTAACCACAGAGGAGGCTGGGAAATGTGCAGCTATGGAGTACTGGTGAGTGCCACTGTTTCCAGAAGACATACCAACTGACATGATTGAAGGTAAGACCAAATGCTCATGACTAAGTTATTGTCATACACTTTTATCCAAGGTATATGCCTGCTAAGACTTGGGGTTTTTGTTAGCAAACTTGTATATAAAAGACGTACCTGTTATTTTAATTAAATAATCAATTAAAAATTCAATTACCCAATGAAATTTGGGTGCAAAAAATAGCTGTTTATGAAACTGTCCCTGAAAGAGAAAAAGACTCTGATGCTCATTAAGAAGGAATCTTCCAGGGCCAGCCGAGTTGTGCGTTGGTTAAAAGGTGGCTTGGGACACCAGAGGGCCCCGGTTCGGATCCCACATATGAGGGCCAGTGACACTGCCCTCTACAGCTAAGATGCTGAACAACAGCTCGACCTGAAGCTGGGCTGCTGTGAGTCGCCAGTGACGGCATAGGCTGCAGCCCCTGCTGCAGTGAGTTGCCATGGGCTACCGTGTGTGGCCAGCAGCCAGCGTGAGCGGCCCTCAAGCCACCGTGAGTGGCCATCCAGAAGCCGGCGATTGATCTGCCTCGCCAGGGAAGAGTGTAATGATGGTGCCAACTTGGGCCAGTGAAGCAATGTCCTCCACAACTAGACTGAAGAACAAAAAGACAGCAACTTGTCTGTTCCCCTTCTCCCAATTCCCCAGTAAAAATCTTTAAGAAAAAAAAAAAGAAGGAATCTTCCAGCATGGGGCCAGTGTGATAATGTTGAATTGTCAGAATGTCCCAGAATATACTTTATCACTCACCCTTATAAGGCTTATGTTTCAACTAAAAAATCCGATTTCAGTATCTCCCTAAACTCTGAGTCAGTATCCAGCCCTGCCTCTTGCCTTTGCAGAGACAAAAGCAAACAGCTGCATATAGAGAGCAAGGGCTCCCTGGTCACCCAACACAAGTCCCTCCACTTCCCCCGGAGTGTCACTCCATCTTTACACCTATCGTGAATGACAGTTCGGACCCTGAGGAAGATGACAAACCAGCACAAAAACTCTGAGCACTCAGCATCTTGTTCTAGGCAGATTCAGACTCTGACCTTGCGGAGCAGAATCCCAAGTGTCTGTCCCCACACCTGTGTCCCTGCCTGATGACCTGTAGTGCGGCCTGGTTGCAGGAGATGGAGGAAGCCTCCTTCTCCATTCTGACCTCAACCAGGAGAGGGAAGGCCCTGTCATCAGCTCTTCAGGCCCAGTGGGTGGGTGAGAGGTTGGAAGAGGGCACACCTGTCCCTCGGGAGCATGGCCTCCATAGCCTCAGAGATGCTCCCAGTCTCCTGCCTTCAGGACCAGAGACTGAGATGGAGTCCATGTGTAAGGACCCACAGTGAGTAGTGACCTTCCTAACACCTGGAAGAGAATGATATCAGGAATTGACAGGTCATTATGTTCACAGACAAGGGAGCTCTGTCCTCTGAGAATTTCTGCTCAGCAGCACCACCAGGCAACTGTGCAGGAGACAAGGGGGTGGGATGGGTGTGAGTCCACACCCCCAGCAGGGAACCTAGAACCAGCAGGAGCTCTGCCATTTGTCATATGGGGTCCACGAGAAACAAACTGCCTCTACATCACTCCAATGTAGGGGGCTCTGGAGGCTGGGGTGTCCACATGGCAGGTGTAGACATTGCCACTCTGGGAAGTCATTTCCAGTAACACAGGACCTGGAAAATCCAGTTCCTGTTCCCAGTAAGTGTGGTGAGCACAATGCTGTCTGCCTCCCACGGACAGGGTGATGTTTTTGATAAGTGTGACTTTTATCCAGGTTGTGCCAATCAGAATCTTGGCTAAAATGGTTGAAATTCTGGTAGACACTCTAGAAACACATAACAGAGACACACACAGAGAGACATGTATACACAAAGAGAAATAGAGATGGGATTAAATGTGAGGTGATGAGAAAGAAATGCAGAAAATAGATGCAAAAAGAAACACAGGGATAAAGAGATGCAGGTAAATAATGGGAAAAGTGCAGATAGAGAAAAATGAGAAACATAGGAGCAGTGATGCAGTGAGAGACCCAGCAAGGGAGACAGAGACAAAGATGCAGAGAAACACACTGATAGACATATACAGGGACAAAGAGAGATGCAGAGAAAGACAGAAAGGTGCACAAATGGAGGTAAAACAGAGAAGAGAGAGATGAAGATCTCACTGAATACATGCACTTAGTCACTTCTGAGATCAACTTGATCCCAGGCTGATTTGTAACATGAACAAAATAAATTTGTGTTGAATTTCTATCATTTGAAACCAAAAATAGTAATTTTATTGCTGGTTATACTTCCTCAAAAATAAAAATTGACCTCAATCAATGTGACTTGCCAGTATATGCTTGAAGCATCAGCGACCAGAGGCCACTGTATGAGCCTGTAAACAATTCTACTGTGTTATTTACATTCTCACCAGATGGGAGAGGCGGCATGTCCTGAGGCCACTGCACTCAACATCAATACTAAAGAACCAGGAAGGATGTTACGATTGAAATGATCTTCTGTCTCACATGGCACCCCAGGATGCTTCTAGTCTCCTTTCAAGGAACAACCCCTCTTTCTGGTCCCAGGTTGTTTGGGTCACCTCAAAATATATTCCCTTCATTCCACATTGCTTTCCTACCTCTGCTCATTTAACGAGGTTCAGGATACAGAAAATTCATAATACGTTTAATTATGATGAAAGCTGTAGGCAAGTAAATGGTGCTTCTCTTGAACAGTCTGTGGGGGGAGAAAAGACACAGGAAAACGCCGTGGGGCCTGAGCAGATGCTGTTGGGAGGCTCCCGGGGTCCTGCAGGAAGCAGCACTGGCAGGCAGATTCTTGGGGTGGGGGTCGCAGGAGGTGACCTGACTCCATCAGCGTCACTGTAGGACTCAGGTCTCAGAGGGACAGGCTGACAGGCAGCTGGGAATTCTGGGCAAAGGCAGGCAGGCATTTCAGAAGAGAAAAGACCAAGGCCAGTCAAAGTGTCCTCAGGAGTCACCGCAGGAGCCCTGCAGGAGAGAGAGTGATCAGCACGGGGCACCCTGAGGGACGTCCTCTCCCCTCCCCTGGGGCCCTGCAGCATTAGACAGAAAGCTGAGGTCCAGGGCATGTCGTCATCACCTCCCCCATATCAGCATAAAGGTGAAATCAACTAAAGACGACAAGGCACAGTCAGCTCAACGCAATGTGTGAACGCCAGGGAGCCGCTGTTACGCTTCTGTGGAATGTGATTTCACTCTTTTTAGTAAATTAGATGATAACCGCCTTCCTTCCACCACTAGTAGCCTCTTTCCATCGCTTATAAAAATCCACAGGCAGTAATCACCAATATGTGGCACAAAGCGGGCATCATCCTGGTGTCTAACACCAAGACGGGCTCTGGATCCAAACTTCACAGAAAGATGCCACCAAAGTTATGGCCTGGTTCTGGACAACCCCGGGGATGCCTACAGAAACTGGGCAAACTGCTCCCCCAACTCTCGATCCCGTGGCAGGGAACAGGCCATGAACCAGACCACTGTGCCCAGGTACACTCACCTCATGCCCTCCCCTCTTTTATCAGTCACCCCTCCCATGCCCCCCCCCCACACACACACACACACTGAATAGAGCAGAAATAATACCTGGCAGAGCTCCACGAAGACCTACAGAAGGAAGATATACAGAGAAAGGTTTCATTACACAAACAACCAGGCCCTCATGCACCCTACAGGGAAATGAGATATGTAACTTAACTGGAAATTCATTTCCTCACTGTCCATCAATCACAAGGCCTTAACTGCCCTAAGCTAAACCCTCACCAAAAACCAAAAACCAAAAACCAAAAACCAAAAACAAATGAAACTATCACTAGAAGGAAGAGAAGACAATGGTCTGATCCTCTTAAAAGAAGAAGCGTCTGGAAAGGACCCAGTGAGATAACAATGACCTGTAAGGAAGTCCTGGAATACACTCCACCAGTCGCTTCTGTGGTAGGGTGGCCTTTCAACCAGTCAAGTCAGAGTCCAGTGTCTCGCCCTAGGCTGCTCTGTCTCTCCCCACCACCAGCCCAGTCTCCTTCCTTCCTTTCAGGGTCAGGAGGTAAGAGTTACACCTACAAGCAGAGACCTCCCTCAACAGCGTCTCAGTCACAGCTCATCGTCCCCATGTCCCCAGAGCTCCTTACCATTCTGTTTCCGGTGATGGATGATAAGGCCCAGCCCGAGGAAGAGCAGCCCCAGCACGAAGCCCCCGACGCCACTCAGCATCTTGCTCTGGGCGGATTCAGACTGTGCCCCTGGAGGGCAGAGCCTGAGTGTCAGTCAGCCTTTGTCCCACACCCACAGGGTCCCTCTGGGAAGCCTGAGTCCAGCCTGAGGTACAGGACAGGGAGGTGCCAGGGGAACCTAGTTCTCCATTCTGACCACCCCTAGGGGAGGACCAGACCACAATCCCTTGGCCACTGTTGGGTGGGTGAGAGAAAGTGGGAAGCAGACCCCTGCTCCTCGAGACACATCCTAAACTTAGGCCCTAAAGCCCCAGTCACCAGCTGTAACAGTCAGTCCCTCAGAGCTACCAGGCTGGGTTCTGGGGCCATGATATGGAGTGACCTCCTAGCAAAGGCAATGAGGTCACGATTCTTCCGATGTCCCTGCCATGGCACAAGAGGCATTCTAGTCTCCTGGAATTTCCAGCTCAGTGGTGACACCAGGGACAAGGGAAGAGATGAGATGGGCTGGGGCAGCTCTATCTTGTGGGGCCCACAGTGAAAGGAAACAAACTGCCCCTTACGCCACTCCACCGTGATGGGGCTCTGGAGGCTGGGGTGCTCCACGTGGCAGGTGTAGACGTCTCCTCGCTGTGGGGTCATTTCCAGCATCACCAGGATCTGGAACGTCCAGTCCCCATTCCTGATAAGGGGGGTGGACACGATGCCGGCTGTCTCCTCCTGGTGGTTCCGGAACCACCGGACTTTGATGTGGTCTGGATAGAAGTCTGTCACCGCGCAGACAAGCAGGTTGTGGTGGTTTAGAGCCTCTGTCTTGGATGGGGAGATGGTCACTGAAGGTTCCACTGTGGGGGAGTAACAGACAGGAGAGGGCAT